TGCCAGTTATTGAGTAGTGAAAACTCAACAGCAGCCAGATCTGATCAAGATCATAAATTCATCCACTTCATAACACAGTATCAGGTTTCTACACACCAATAGTCTATTAATGTCCTTGTAAAGAGTTATAATTCAAATACTCACTGATTTCTATCTCTTTATAGCCCAGAGAACAGTTGACGTCTCTGAAGAGTTCACAGCGGTAGAGACCCAGATCAGACAGCTGCACATCTCTAATCAGGATGGAGAAGTTTCCAGAGGCAGCGGCAGCACTGAATGCCTTAATTCTATTGCGTCTGTTATTCCAGAAGCTTTCATGACCATTTACTTCGATCTCTACAATGTAGTTAATGGTTTCATTAATCTGAGTCCACACAGCACCTAACTTCATGGTCGGGTTTGATCCAGTCAGAGCTGGTTCAAAAAGGCACGGCAGCAGGATTTCAGACTGCAGTTCTGTGGTTAAATTGATTCTTGTAATGAGCTTCCCTGCATTGCACACATCTTGACCTGTGTGAAAGATTGGACATAGACAAGAGTTTGATAAAGTGGAAAGAAAAAATCAAATAAGAAGTGCAATAAAAGCAGTACAGGCTATAATACAGATAATAAACATAAGACATTTACTGACCTCTGCCATACAGAAGACAGCAGCAGCAGCACAATATCCACACAGCAGAAAAACACAGTCCAAACAGCTTCATGGTCTCATCTGATCACTGAAGCTGCAACAGAAAAGAACAGTGAGTTCAAGAGCAGCGAGGTGAGAATTTGTTGAGCATGTCACTTCCTGAAAAAGCTGAAAAAAGAAGGCTACTTGGTAAAACCACAGTGATGATTCTCAATTAACAATTGGTTTATGAAAAACAATTTTATTGTTTTTAATAATTTAAAACAAAGCAAACAGCAAAAAATACTGAGGTGTTATGCTGTACAAAAAGTGTATACATTTTACCATGGTATGTGTTCAGACAAGTGCATTTTTTGGTTTTCAATCTTCATTTCATAAAAACCACCTCATAACAGCAGACACTGATGTTTATCTGCTTCAGGAACTATATGCCTTTTCATTAAAGGAATTATGATTCTGTTCTCCAAGTAAAGCTGTCTGTCTGTGTACTGAAGCTGAAGCACAGCTGGCTCATGCAGCAAGACAATGATCTGAAACATATTAACATGTCTCGGGCCTCAGAATGGTTTGAAAACAAGACAATTCATGTTTTGGAAGCCGCACTTAAACTCCACTGAAATGCTGTGGCAAACCTGAAACATCCAATTCATGCTCAAAAACTTACATGCCGCTGAGTTGGAGTGAGACACAGCAGAGTGAAATGCATAAATAACTACAGGAAATGTTTGTTTGCCGGTATTGCTGCTAATTACGTTGTAACCAGTTCCTGAGTAATCTAAAGGAAGCAACCACTCTTACAGAGCTCAGTCAATCTATTCCATGCTGAACATGATAAAGGTCCGGGGACAAGTACGAACTCATCTAAAGGAAAAATAGTCTTTATCATTATTTAGCCCAATATGGGGGAATGAAAAATTAATACCTGGTCGAAAGGATTTAGGTTTTCGACTCTGGGCTGAGAATGGTGTGGGGAAAGTTAAAGACCTATACAAAGATGGTGTTCTAATGTCATTTGCTGATATTATTGACAAATTCAAAATCCCTAAAAAACATTATTATAAATATTTGCAAATTAGGAATTTTATATGTACTGCGCGAGGACAAGGACTTGCTGAGCCAGAACTAACTAATCTGGAGAAATGTATGACTAAACCAAGTAAAAGTGGAGGACACATATCTCTTTTATATAACATGCTATTATTAGGTTCTCAGGAGTCCTCTGCATCCAGATTAGCCATGTGGGAACAAGACCTCGGAGTGAAGATAGATAAGGAATTATGGGAGCAAAAATGTGTAAAGGCCCAAACACAGACAGTTAACAGTAGACTAAAACTGTTACAATACAATTGGCTTATGCGTACTTATATAACTCCAGTAAAATTAAATAAAATTTATAGCAACATACCAGATACTTGTTTTAAATGTAACAGTGCAAAAGGTACCTTAATTCACTGTATGTGGGAATGTGACAAAATAAAAGAGTTTTGGAAAGAAATTAGAAATATGATAGAGCATATGGTTTCAATAAGGTTACCATTAGATCCAGGGTTTTTTAATTCTTGGCATTCATCCAGAAAATTGGAATATTTAAAAAGGATAATCAAGTATTGATAGATATGTGCATTTTACATGGCAAAAGGCTCATTGCCATTTATTGGAAAAAGACAGAAAGGCCTACCATAACTCATTGGTTAAGAGAAATATCTTCATGCATTGCAATGGAAAAGATAACCTATATGCTTAAGGGTAAACAAGCTAAATTTAAGAAAATCTGGAGTCCATTTTTATTATTTATTGAATGTAGGGATATTAACAATATAATAGAGGATCAAAATTCTTGATTGGGTATTTAAATATATTTTAATGTGCATTATATTAACCCCTTACAACTGCGGTTGTTATTCTTTGCAATAGATTATTAAATCTAACTTTCAAAGTACAGACTGTATTAACCCTTTGTTGGTTTTGTGCTTTACACCTTTTCTGTAATATGAGCCCCTAGTGTTTGTTTGTTTGTTTTCTTTTCTTTTCTGTACATAGTAAGTATTGTTACAGACACGGTATGTACATGTGTCAGTCTTGTGTTTCAAGAAAATGTAATAAAAATAATATTACAAAAAAGGAAGCAACCACACTGGAGCACTGGTTGTTACAGAAAATCATCAAAGATGCATCCCATTTTATTTGTTCATGTGTCAGGTTTATGCATCCATAGGTTTTGCTTGGGGGAAAAAATACAGAAAATCACTCTGGGAACAACAAAACAAAACCATTAAAAAATGTTACTCAAAATGAAGTAAACATTAACTAAAATAAATATAAAAATATTAATCAAGAACTATAACAGTATATTAATGACGCTGAAATGAAACTTTGGTTCAGTTGGTTTCGTTTTTAGCTTCATAAACATAACAAAAATGAATGAAATAGTTTTAAAAATGGTTTTAAAATTTGTTTTACTGCTTGCATGAAACCAAGCAGTTAGAAAAAGTGTCAGATTTATTTTGAGCATTCTCTTCTGCAATTTTGTTGCATTTGAATAGCTGAGCACATCACACATGACACTTCAGCTGTTATGACCACAAACACTCTTCTATCTGTCTCCTCCGCCACAAAACCAATTTACTGACAACCATCAAAAGAATAAAAACAACATTTTAGACCTAGTTCACACTGCTAGACACTGGGAACACGGATTAAGTAAACAGAAGTTATCTTTGTCCAAAACAATTCTGTATTTCACAGTTCATCATGATGAGCATCACGGAACAATTTACACATTAAAAAATAAAGCATTTTATATCTACAAACAAAAATGTATACTCTGTATTCTTTGCTGTTCACCCAAATGATGAAAATATAGAAGAAAAAATGATACAAATATATAGAGCAGTTAAAATAAAGCCAAGTAACTTTCTGGCTGTCTAGTCTGACTATGTTGTATATTCCAAACTAGTATCCCTAATACTGAAATACACACTGTTTGGTTTGTTGAGAAAGACAGGTAAGAATGAGAGACTTAAGTGACCCACCTCTCAGGAAAAAAAAAGACTTCACAGGGTAATTAGTTAAATATGATATAAAAATGAGCAGTGCCTAACAGCAAACTGACACTTCAATTCATCTACTCCTGTTATTGCAGAATTTTTACTGTCCGATGAGTGGGACTGCATGCTGTGGAGGGTGACGTGGTTTAAAAAGTAACATGGCAGCATCACTTCAGCTTGCCTTTTACAGCTTTTATGGTTAAGGTGATGCTACTCACTCACACCTACATCTTGCAAAGCATTACAGTATCTGTGAGCTGTGTTCGGACCTTGTGAACTCAAAAGTACGCAGACTGGCTAATAAAAATAGCACTGTCTCACTGAGGTTTGATGCTAATGGTTCCTCTGTGTTCACAGTGAAAGATACCCTGATATTCTAAACTGAACTTAAGCACTTTAAAAAAAGATAAACATACATTTGATGGAATGTTTATTAATGTTAGTTTTAGTTTACAGTGGTGGCCAAAACGATTAGAACACTAGTATTTTCACCAGCTAAAAACCTTTAGCTGTAGTGTGTCAGAAGGAAATATCCGGTTACTTTTCCAAACATTCATTTTGCCATTCATTGTAATAATCCAGTGAGATTTTTGTCTGACTACAGCCAGTGCTCCACACAGAGATCTGATCTCTTCATCATCCAGTCTGTCTGGAATGACATGAAGAAACAGAACAAACTGAGACAGACTAAATCCAGAAGAACTGTGGCAACGTCTCTCAAGATGCTTCAAGAAACCTACCTGTAATGTTAAACGTTTTAGGCACTTGTGTAAAAATGCTGTAAAATGAGGATGCTGTCAAAAATAGATTTTCTTTATTAATTAACTTCTATTAACTACATTAAATCAACATTTGGTGTGACCATCCTTTGCGTTTAAAGCAGCTTTTGCCCTCGGTGCACGTGCGCATAGTTTTTCAGGTAGCTTTACAGGTAGGTTTCTTGAAGCATCTTGGAGACGTTGCCACAGTTCTTCTGGATTTAGTCTGTCTCAGTTTGTTCTGTTTCTTCATGTCATTCCAGACAGAATGTAACCGGATATTTCCTTCTGACACACTACAGCAAAAGTGTGACTTAAAGCCATTTTCAGCTGGTGAAAATACTAGTGTTCTAATCATTTTGGCCACCACTGTCTTATTAAACATCTAGTTTACTTGACTGTTCAAAAAAAGAAAGTACTATTGAATAAATGATCCTATGAGCATTTAGTCTTTTTGCTTTTTTCTCGACGAGAGCAAAGAGAAAGAGAGAGATGCTGAGAAATATTCTGAAACTTCATGTATTCAGCTGCAACATTTAAAATATATGACACAAAAACTGCTGATATTGATATGCCCTGGTTTTGCAGTTTTAATTCAATTATTCAGGCAAATAAGGGTGGAAATTAGAAATGTGTTGTGAAATGTAGCCTGCCTACCCACACAGCCATGTTATAAAGGTACGTCTCGGTGTCAGCTGAGTTTATATGTTATACAAACAATGCATTTTACACACAGTAAATAAATGACAGGCTACTGTATCAATGTATTTAATTATGATATAAATGCACCCTTGCTTTCATGGCAATCCCTCATAGACAACTGTTGTGTAGGTCAGCGCATCAACTGCTGGGCCTGAAAGATGATGTTAAGAGAAAATGTTAATGATATGAAGCTTTGTACAATATGTTCTCCAGATTTAAACACATCTGCATTCTACAGCAGTTTTGCATTGAAAACTATTCTAGAGTGCCTTGAATTAAATCAGCCTGACCCAGAATAATATTGTGATCACACATCGGGTCTTTTACTTGTTTTGTTTATAATGTCTTTACAACATGTAACTTTCACTTAATTTGCTCTATTGTAGTAGCATACGTGTTGTATGAATTATCTTACATTGTTATGGTTTGTTGTATAATATTAAAGGAGACATATTATGCGCCTTTTTACAATATGTAATATATGTCTATGGTGTCCCCAGAATGTGTCTGTGAAGTTTCAGCTCAAAATACACAGATAATTTATTATATCATTTTGAAAATTCCTATTTTCAGTGGAAGCAGAACGCGCATAATCTCATATATTATAATGAGATCCCTTTTGCCACGTCACCAAGGGAGCGAAATCTGACGCGCTCGTTTTCTCAGACGCTTGCAGAAAAAGGCCTACCAAAACAAAGTTACTGGGTTAATATTTTTCTCGTTTCCTTGGTTGGTAGATGCACCGGGGACCTGATTATAGCACTTAAAACCTGGAAAAGTCAGATTTTCATGATATGTCACCTCTAATACGATTTACTCACCAGGTCTCATAGCAGATTTATCAGACTCACGTTTTGTCCATGTATAGTAAACGCACACAGTGATCATAAAGAGAAGCAGAAATCCTCCTCCTCCTCCTCCTCCTCCTGCAACTACGAGCTGCCAGTTAATGTGCAGTGAAAACGCACCTGATCAAGATCATAATGATGATTGAGATATAAACCATCATAAAATCATCCACTTACATGCTGATAGCCCATTAATGTCCTTGTAAAGAGTTATAATTCAAATACTCACTGATTTCTATCTCTTTATAGCCCAGAGAACAGTTGACGTCTCTGAAGAGTTCACAGCGGTAGAGACCCAGATCAGACAGCTGCACATCTCTAATCAGGATGGAGAAGTTTCCAGAGGCAGCGGCAGCACTGAATGCCTTAATTCTATTGCGTCTGTTATTCCAGAAGCTTTCATGACCATTTACTTCGATCTCTACAATGTAGTTAATGGTTTCATTAATCTGAGTCCACACAGCACCTAACTTCATGGTCGGGTTTGATCCAGTCAGAGCTGGTTCAAAAAGGCACGGCAGCAGGATTTCAGACTGCAGTTCTGCTGTTAAACTGATTCTTGTAATGAGCTTCCTGTCTTCACACACACCATGACCTGTGTGAAAGATTAGAAAAGGACAAGACTTTGATACTTTGCACACTTTAAAGGGTCCAATAAGATAAATGTACAACTGATAAACAATTCAGAAAATTTACTGACCTCCGCCACAGACAAGACAGCAGCAGCAGCAGCACAATATCCAGACAGCAGAGAAATAGAGTCCAAACAGCTTCATGGTCTCATCTGATCACTGAAGCTGCAGTAGAAGTGTGCACTGCGGTAAGAAATGGTGTCATCTCCTCATGCATTTGTGAACACCACATGTGTTCAATTTGTAAGCAGCAATACCAAATAATATTCTTCACACATGGTGGAATGTGTGAATTCTGCTTCTGACAGTTTTTTGTTCAACCAATGAGATTCTAATTGGCATGTACAGCTATAAACAGCATAAGCAAAAACTCTTGATATTTCTCAGTATTTACCTCTGGCCAGTCAGATACTGTCCCATACAACAGCTATAGTCTTACACGATAGATTTTATCTGACTTTTTATCTACATTGAAAAACCACATTCTACTTAAATGTGGCCATTTCTAGTTTTAGTAACATGGAAATTATATTTCAATAAATTCTTCTGCAATTACTCTCAAACTTTGACTCAAAAGACATGGAAGTAGCTAAAAAGTAACAGTATATTACATTCAAAGTATATTTTTATTCTTTTCTTGCATTCCCTGGGAATCAAACCCATAATGTTGGCATTGTTAGCACTGTGCACTACTGTTTAAACTACAAGAATGCTCACCGGAAGGACTCACTCCAAGGGACACAGACAAAAAGTTACATTAAAGACACAGGGTACACCGGCAGTACATAATGTGTCAAATTCTCTATTAAAATAAACATCTTTCCAACTATCGGTGAAGACGGAAACATTAAAGTTCCCACACAGAGGAAGAAGAATAAATAAAAATAAAAAAAACTCAGGCCACTAAACAGCCCATCAGCTATTCCCTAAATAGCCTGCATTTACACAAATGAAGCAAGAAAATAGTCTAGTTTTAGCAGCCAAAACTACTTCCCTTCTGTGGCAAGCAGAATTATGAGTAGGAAATTATGTAAACATTTAGTAACAATTCAAACAACCTTATCAAGGAACGAAAACCGGAAACGAACGAAATTCTGACAGAAACAACCAGAAACAAAATCAAATTTTATAGTTCCGAACAGAATCGAAAATTTTAAATGGCCACAACGCATATTTTCCGTGATTTGTGATATCACAAATACCGACGAATGGGATGAGACCTGGTTGAGCTGCACTAGAGAAGACAACAAGTTTTATCACTATGTCGGAGACACGCTAGCTTTCCCAAGGCAGACGAACTTAGAGTGCTTACAATCATCCGGGTTTAAATCGCGCTCAAATTGATTTGATTTTGACGCAATATTTACATTGAAGCTCGCAGGCGGCGTAAGGGGCGTGACATTTCCCGACCAGGTGCTGAGTGGTGCCAATCACAGCACACACTGGCCCAGCTAACCAATCACAGCACATTTCGTATTTCAGAAGGTGGGCTTTCATTTGATACAGGAACTATTCGAGCCGTTCATGCCAGACTGGGGAGAGAGGTGTTGTAATAATGTAAAATATGTGAAAAATACAACCTAGTATGAGAGCCTGTTCTAGTACACCCCCAAAACAAAATCAAGACTTTGTAAAAGAGCATAATAGGACCCCTTTAATATTTGAAATTTGCTGTCAACCAATCACGAATTCCAGTAGTACGCTGAAGCCAAGGAGTGAAATGCCCGCTCAGCTCTGAACTCATCACAGGTAAGTCGCAATGGCAATACACAGGTGTAGTGCCGAAAGGGGCGTCTCACACGCACACACAACATATTTTTGCGACATTGCAGCCTGTTCATGGACCTTTTTCACATTTCCGGGTTTCTCAGCAGCGGAAGTCGTCATAGTTGGGGTAACTTGAATAGCAGTGAATGGGAGAGTACTACAAATATATTTTTTGCATTCCCATTTGCTCAAATAGCTAAAGAAAAACTCCACGATAGTGTTTTCATGACTTTCAATAAAAGGAAAAAAATTGAGAGAGACTGATAATGGCAGTCAGAAGAGAGAACTATGTCAAATTTACCATCAGTCCCATAGACGCTGCCTTAGAAACACCCTCACATTAGCGTTAACTGTTTTTTTTTTGGTTGTAATTTGATGCAAAGGTGATATAATACAAAGCAAAGGTGATATGATACAAAGAATGGTGTTATAACTGTACATACATTAAAAAAAAATACAAATATGAAAAACTTTGGAGGATTTACGATGCTGATGACTGTTAAACGCGTCATCACAGTCTTGTGAAAAGGGTCCATTATCAAAATAAAATAGTTAAAGAAACAAATAAAAAGTTACACTGCTCCGTTGTACAACATTTGTTGCGTTCAGCGTGACCAGCTGTGCTGATATAGCCAATGTAAAGGATGATGAAGTACAAAGCCTAGCCTATAATAAATAATATTTTAGCATCCAGATCGTTTTTATAGCCTAAGCGCATAGCCTTAACTTTAGATGATTTGTTGTGGAGAGAAACTAATTGTGTTTATAATGTTTGTAAACATTTTGCTTTAGCCTACCGGCATTTTAGCCTACATTATATCTGAATGTAATAGGGCTAATAAAATGCGACGCGAGCCTACGCGACTTATGTTTTTTTCACTCTCAAAACGCAATCTTATACAAGGAGCGTTTTTTAACAATGCAGCAAACATGTTTATATATCTTAAAATACTTTAATGTCTTTAAAGTGTTGATAGATTTTTTTTATTTTGTTTAGTAGCCTCAACCCTCTACGCACACCTTGGCAATATAATCGCCATTGGCTAGTAAATTGTTTTGTTTACTCGCCAGACTGATATACTATTTTACACACACACACACACACACACACACACACACACACACACACACACGTTTACTTAGCTATCTAAATGGGGACATTACATAGACTTCGATTGTTTTTATATACAGATAGTTATACACTTTTTAACCCAAACCCACCCCTAACCCTACCCCTCACAGAAAACTTTCTGCATTTTTACAATTTCAAAAGTTAAAAAAAAACTTTGTTTATTTTTATAACAGTTTTACAAATGAGGACATCCACAAATTGAGGTTTTTGCCGATTTTGTCAGGTTTTGCTCATGTGTTTTATTGAAATGTTTTAGTTTTCATATAGAAAAATGTATGATGCACGTGTTCTTGACTTTGGAGTAAACATTTATTTTGAATCTTGTGATTAAAGTATATTTCATATAAAATGGCCAGAAGTTTCAAACATTATTTTTAATATCACAAACAGGAAATTACTCGCATAATACGATGAAACGAATAACTGTATAGGTCTACAACTAATAACTGTATAGGTCTACAACTAAATTACACAAGATGTATATAATGTTTATAAAATGCTTAATATGTCATAAAATGCATACATAAAGTATGACGTATCGTGTGTAATAAATGCAAATTACCCCTTAAAAACCAGTAGGTGGCGCTACTCTTAAAAAATGTAAGCTCCTCAAGGTAGTGTAAGTAGTCCTATTATTTTTAACTTAATGATAAATGACATTTTTTCTAATATTGACGTTGGTGTGAGCAGGTCATTGTATGCAGATGATGGAGCGTTATGGTTTAGGGGGCGAAATGTTTTGTATGTGGAAAAGAAAATGCAAAAAGCTGTAAAGGAGGTTGAGGATTGGGCAAGGAAATGGGGTTTCAGATTTTCTGTGGCAAAAACGCAGGTAATATGTTTTTCAAATAAGAAAATTAATCCTCTGCATATAAAAATGTATGGGCAACAGCTAGAACAAGTTAATGCAGTCAGATTTCTAGGAATGTGGATGGACTCAAAATTGAACTTCAGAATACATATTCAGAAGCTGATAGAAAAATGTAAGAAAGGGATAAACATATTAAGATGCTTGTCTGGAGTTGAATGGGGGGCTAGGCGTCAATCAATGGAAAGAATATATAAAGCAGTAATAAGAGCCAACATTGATTATGGTTGTATAGTGTATACTTCTGCAAATAAAACTTGGATTAAAAAGATTGAGAAGATACAAACGCAGGCAATGCGAATTTGTTGCGGAGCATTCAGGTCATCTCCTGTGGTATCATTACAGGTTGAAATGGGAGAACTGCCTCTAGAGTTACGCAGACTTCAGCTAATAAATCTGCAAAAATGTCAACAATTCTGTGTTTTTCTGTCAATATGGGGTGCTGTGTGTACATTAATGAGGAAAAAAAATTAACTTAAATGATTTTAGCAAATGGTTGCAATATAACAAAGAGTGAAAAATTTAAGGGGGTCTGAATACTTTCCGTACCCACTGTATACCTAAATTCAATATCAAAATTGCTAGAAGAGTTTCTGATCATGTATCTGTATATACTTCTGAATTATTAGCTATATGTCTTGCACTGCAGTGGGTTGAAGAGGTCCAGCCTAATACAGTTGTGGTGTGTACAGATTCAATGGCGGCTCTGACAAGTTTACGGAGTGGAAAATCAGAAGCACGACAGGACATATTATATGAAATTCTACAGAGTATTTATAGGATAAGGCAGTTAAGGTTATTGGTTTATTTTCTTTGGGTGCCGGCTCATGTTGGAGTAGAGGGGAACGAGAGAGTTGATCAGCTTGCAAAGAAGACCCTGGAACAACCACAAGTTGAATTCCAAATTACAATAAGTAAAACTGAAATAAAGAGATTGATATATATAGAAGTTGAAAAGAAATGGCAAAAAATTTGGGAAAATTAAAGAAAAGGGAGGCGTTTATTTAAGATCCAGGAGCGTGTTGCTAAAGAGAGAGTAAATTATGGAAATAGAAGGAAGGAGGTTATCTTATCTAGATTGAGAATAGGACATGTAGCATTAAATAACAGTTTGCACATTCAGTCATTCTTGAGAAGTGGGACAAAGGGTGCAAACTTGAAAAAATAAAACCTTGTACTCAGACAAATGAAACTACATTTATGTATCTTATATGTACTAAGCTACTGAGCTATGCTTTGATTCAGCCTCCCAACTTTTCTCTTTTTTAACAAAATGTGCTTTTTTTAGCTTGGACTGTGTAATAAATTTCAGCTTTATCTTTAACAGCATTCAAGATGTTTTTAACATTTCAAAACACATTCTCGTGTTAGCAGACAGATTACACTTTCACATGTGACCAACAATTCCACAACAAATATAAAATATCATAATGAAATATTATCAAAATATTAAACTGACGGAGGTGACAGAACTGACGGAGTTGATACATCTGACGGAGGTGACGAAAACCTGAATTTGATGTCATTTTAACTATCAAATACATTGAATCAGTCAATTACTGTATTAAAACAAACACAACAGTGAGTATGTTATTGTTTATAAAGCTTTTAT